GGGGGGGGGGGGGGGGTAGTATAAAGTCCAAAAGCTTCTTGTGTTGAGAGCTGCCACATTATGCTGCCTACAACACAGCAGCCTTGCTTCTGGTAATTGATGTGACCTCACAACTTGACCAGAAACGATAATCACACACACACAACACACACACACACACACACACACACACACAAAACACTCCATTCACAGGGGATTTTACAGTACTGGAATACCATTACAGTCCATAAACAGGCAGCGACAAAAGAAGGATTAGTGTTGGAAATGATGACCTCCAGTTGGTCTACATGGTCATTACTGTCAAATCTGACCCCCCCCCCCCCCCCCCACACACACACACACACATTACAACAAGGGGGAAAGTGTCCCTCAAGTTCATCATAAATAAGATTTACTTGTTTTAAGGGAGATGTTTTTTTTACTCTTGCTGACAAGATCAGAAGATGTGCTTAGAAAAATGAAATAACTAATAATTATGAATAATTCAAAATTTTTTCAAACAACATGAAATCAGTGGGACATAAACTCTAGTTGCGTTCACGAGGCTGTGCTTGGATTTGGTAAATAACTGTGTTTTGTGATCAGTAAAATTTGAGCAGGGCTCATTTGATCAAAATTGGTGAGAAATTAAATTGATAAAGGCGACTTTTTCCCCGCAATATTTCCATCACATTTCAATTTTGATCTAATCATCAATTGAAATTTTTGGTTTGAAATATCTTCACATGTTTATATTACATTAACATTATATAAAAAATATTAAAAAAAACTTGGAAATATCTTGACATATGGAAAAATTTAAGCATTTAGTGTTTTTGTAATTTCTTTTGCTCTTACATTCAGTTAAACAAGCCCGAAACCTGATTCCCATGGACCCCAACGGTCTGTCAGACCCCTACGTGAAGCTCAAGCTGATCCCAGATCCCCGCAGCGAAAGCAAACAGAAGACCAAGACTATAAAGTGCTGCCTGAACCCCGTCTGGAACGAGACCTTCAAATTGTAAGGCTGCAAATTGGTTGACTTTATTTTATTTATTAATGTTCATCTTAGCATTTGCTCTTTTTGCCCTTTTGTTTCATTCTTTCACCTCTCCCTCTTATTTGGTCAGTCTGAACGTCACATTATGTCGGGGTGTAACCGCCAGCACTCAGATAAAAACATCTTGTCTGCTTCCATCCATCCATCGTCTTTACCTGCTCCTTCATTTTCAGGTCACAGGGGTCGCTGCTGCTCATGTCCAGCAGTCACTGTGTGAGGGGCAGCTGGACATGTCCAAGTCCATCACAGGGACACACAGAGACAAACGAGACAAACAACCATTCACTCTCTCACTCACACCTAGAGACAATTTAGAGTTACCAATCAGCCTAACATGCATGTTCTTGGTATGTGGGAGGAAACAGGAGTACCCGGAGAAAACCCACGCATGCACGGAGAGAACATGCAAACTCCACCCAGAAAGGCCCCCTGCCAGGATTCGATCCAGCAACTGTCTCATTGAGAGGCGGCAGCTCTACCAACTGCGCCACCGCGCCGCTCCATTTGGCTTCTTGCGTTTGTAAAACCTCGCTGGTGGGCTTGTTTCCATGCAGTTGCATTCTTAATAAGCCTCATCACCTCCAGGCATCTTGGTGCAGATGTTCTGGCTGTGGGGGACTTTTTTTTAATCTTTCAAACCAATCAAAATAAGGGACAGTGGGAAGAGTTGGTAAACTGGTTTGTGCATGTTGTATTAAAGACAAAGAGGCTCTAAGACTTTTATTTCACGTATTAGATGAATGAGTTACACTATAAGAACAATGACAAAATGACTGCAGATGACTCAGCCTTGTGTCTCCTCCAGCCACCTGAAGGAGCACGATAAGGACCGCCGTCTGTCCGTGGAGGTGTGGGACTGGGACTTGACCAGCCGCAACGACTTCATGGGATCACTGTCCTTCGGCATCTCGGAGCTCCAGAAACTAGGAGTGGACGGATGGTAAGAGCGAAGGCCTGAGTGAATGAGTTAAAGGGAGAGGCGCGAGGCAGAGAAATGCCACCACGAAGCAGAAGGAGGGAGCGTGAAGGTGACCTTGTTCATTACTGTATCACAGGAGAAACACCTCACTCTTCACATTCTGTGCCAGAACAACTCCATCTCTTTATCTCTGCTTCTTTATCGCTCCACCTCCACCGTCTTTATCTCTCTGCATCTCCCTGCCTTTCTGCTGACGCTGCTGTGTCAGGGTTTTTAATGAGATGCCAGCTTTTTGAGGTGGAGGCAGAAAGACACCTTTTTATACACCTGATATTCAGATCCAGCTGGTAAAAATGCACCCCACCCCCCACCCCCCAATCCATATTTGTGTTGCTTCAAAGCCTCACACTTGCTGGCAATACTTAACAGAAAGTAGCACAAAGTGAAAAAGACAAAAACTCTGTTTTGCAAGCCTTTTATACAAAATTACTTCCTTATGGGTGAGAAAATTGAAAGGAATTTGAACAAGAGTGGAGCTTGTATTTTTTTTTTTAGTTTGACAATGCATAATTAGCCTATATTTATATTTTTGAGTATAGTTACACAATTTTACAAAACAACTAAATTATGTTTATCTGATAGTTGCCAGATAATAAAACTATACTGTGTGTAGTGTTTCACTGGGCTGTGACCGATGGAGACTACTGTACTTTTCACTGTATAAGTCGCACCTTTTTGCCTAAATTAGCATGCCCTGTGACTTATACTGTACAGTGAAGCGGCTTATTTATGCTTTTTTTCTCCTTATTTATAACCCAAATGTTGGCTGAGATTTGACGATTTCATTCATTCTGACATGGAAAATATTGAACACTACCATTTACAGCTGCTAGAGGGGCCTCAACTAATGTGGCAAGTCAAGTGTTTCATTAATAGGTAAAAGTGGCTATTAATGAAACACTTGACTTGCCATACAAAGTCACCTTCGTCTCGCTCCGGAACTCCTGGAGCAAACGTCAAATCAGCTGCATTTCGCCGCGCCGCCCAGGTGAAATGCAGCTGATTTGACCATTAACGTGTATTTATTAAGGAAAAGTTCAACTGAGACACATCTTTGCTATAATGTCGAGCAAACAAGTAATTGTTTTTAGGTGGTTATCTTGTTAAATTTCGAAGAAATGCACAGTGAGTCCTTCCTCTGCGCGCTCCCATTTCCACCAGTCGGCTTTTGAAATGCAGCTGATTTGACGGTCAGAGTGCATTTATTAAGGAAAAGTTCAACTGAGACACATCTTTGATGACAAAAGGCTCAACTCCGGTGCTCTTCACTGACCCCTCCCTTTCTCTTTTCTCTTTAAAATTTGTTTTAACCATCCAAAATCGTGTTTTTGGATCGCTGAAAGCAGCTAAGCTGAGAAGCTAAGCTACGAGCTAAGCAAACAGGCCGAACTCGGGGAAAAAACCTCCGTCTGGTCAAAGCTCATAAATTCACGGTTGAAACCCGTGCCTTTGTGTAAAAAGTTGTTTTTCTCTGCAAAAAGAAGCTGATAACTTGCTTACGGATTTTTTTTTTAATTAAAAGATTTGTGTGACAAATGCTATGCTAAAGAGCTCAAACAACACCACCGTCCGTCATTTTGAGAACTGAAAAAAGAAAAGAGACAGCCCATGTCACGTCACAGGGCCTCTCTCCCATTTTTCTTAAAGAGACACGCTGCTCGTTCCCTCACTATCCATCCTTCAGTTCAAACAGTCTTACACTGCCATCTGGTGATCAAAAAAGCTACTACATGCAAGATAAATTAACATTTCGTCTTAATTTGTCAATAATTACTAATTATTGTCAAATTTCAAACAATATTATCGTATATTGCAATAATTTCAGAGACAATTAATCGCCCAGCAAAATTTGTTATCGTGACAGGCCTAGTTGTGTTACAGGTGCTCAGGTTGCTTGATATTCATATGTGGGTTACAGTATACGCTTGAATTCACCCATACTTATGCACAAGTCCTAATGCACTTTTGCAAATCAAGAATTCACATTTGTAGCTACTATGAGACTTTATTCTTTCGATACCTCTTGTTTCAAAGCATAAAACTTCTTGCAGAGACAAGCTCAACACTTTTATTTCAACTAAAATAAGTGTGTGGTGTCAGCTGTAATCTCAGGTAATCTTTATCAGATTTTATGGTTGCTAAAGGTGAAACTGTCTGCGAATACTTTGGAGAAAAGCAAAGGTGCTTAAATCTGTGTCATTAAATCCATTAATGCCGTGCAGAAGCACTCTGGTCCAAATGAGCTTGTGGTGCCGTGAGGCGTGTGCTTTAGTCAGGAGCGGCATCAGCTGTTATGGATCAAATGTGCACCGTTACCAAAAAAACATAACCAGGAAAGGCGAGTAAATTATTGAATAACTGACTGATTTTTCTTGAGCTTCAAGCTGGAGCACAAAACGGACCCCAGCTTGAAGCTTTGCTTCATGGGAGCAGTTCAGCATCTTCTTTGTATGAAGTCGTTAGGAATCGATTTGACTGCAAATATCCGTTGATTTCAGGTTTAAGCTGCTTTCTCAGGAAGAAGGCGAGTACTTCAATGTTCCTGTGGCTCCAGAGGGGGAGGAGGGCAACGAGGAGCTACGGCAGAAATTTGAGGTGTGTATGTGTCAGTGTGTGTGTGTGTGAACGTGTGTGAGCAGTCAGCTTTGGGCACTCGGTGTGTTTGAGTGAGAGCCACTCCGGGAGAGCTGTTAGCAGTTGGCAGGCACACTTATAGTACCATCCGGTCTGGCACACTGCAGGTCCAGACGTGTGTGTGTGTGCATGTGTGTGTGTGTGTGGGCTGACCAGTAGGCCCATTCAATAACACATTTGGCAGTGATGAGGACAACACCACCATGTCTTCCTTTTTTCCTCCCTCTTCTTCTCCTCATGCTGATCAAGCTACAAACATGAGTTTCATTACAAAATTATGTTAAAGTTCTCGTGTGTAACATTAATTCAATTCAGTTCAAGTCAGTTTATTTATTTAGCACCAAGTCACAGCAGAAGTCATCTCAGGGCACTGAACAGAAACATTCATATATAAAAATAATAATTTAACATTATTTATCTGAGGAGCAGACTGCTTTGAATTTAACTCCATCACAGAACACTCATCTTGAGCAAACATGAAGGCAACAGTGGAAAGAAAAAACTCCCTCATGAGGAAGAAACCTTTAGCAGAACCAGGCTCAGGACAAGCGGCCATCTGCTTCGACCGGCTGGGTTTGAGAGGAACAGATACACAATGGCAGGTCAAGAATCACATTAAGATAGAAGTAATATCAAATGAAAACTATTCAATTTTAACAATTCATTTAAGGAAATTAAGTCAATTTGTCCTCTAGTCTAAGCTTAAGGAAGCATAACAAGCCAACCCTAATTATAGGATTTATTAAAAGGGTAGTCTTAAGCCCAGTCTTAAAACTGGACCCATCCTCCCATTCTGCTTTTGGAAACTCTAGGAATCACAAGTAAACCTGCAGTCTGAGAGCGAAGTGCTCTGTTAGGAAAATATGAAACAATAAGATCTGTAATATAAGATGGAGCTAGGTTGTTGAGAGCTTTGTAGGTTAGAAGTAAGATTTTGAATTCAGTTACAGCAACATGCGTTCACAGAAGCTTATTAATCTATTAATCATTAGTTTGATGACTTAAATGTAGAATCTGGGATTCCTTTTTCTTTATCCTAAAACGTGTTTCTATCCAAAAACACAAACAACCCAATTCTACTGTAGCCCAGAAAGGCCAAACTAAACACTTTCTAGACTGAGGCATTATGTTTATTACAGCCAATATTCTTGTTTTATGTAAAAGGTCAGACCTTTGTCTCTTTAACACAGACAGTTTTCAAAACAAACCATGGTTTTACACCTTTCATCCACATGTAAACAATGTTTTCATTAAGAGAAGGGGACGTTTTCAAGAACGCTTCAAAAATATTCGAATTGAAGTCTATTTTACCCATACTTCGTTTATGAATTGTGCATGCACAGTCACTAAAACAGTCAATGTCTAGTAATTTGTTCATCATTGTTGGAAGCCTTGTTTACTCAAGTCTTTTTTGTACTCCCACAAAAAATACAAAAATCATCACACCCTAAATCCATCAGAAAGCGTTTTGCATTCCTTATTGGCCCAAAATCAAGATGCAGACTGACTGAAAGCTGCACTTTATACCAAGTCAGCATAATTATCTAAAATGTTATGTCAACGTCAGAATTTCTGCTCAGAAAGCCAGACTCCTCACCAGCCCTGGCCTCAAAATCCAATATGGCTGCCATACGGCCAAAAGTCTGCGATAGCTGCATTAAAAACGTTCTTCATATAAGAGTCTGTGTCTCCTCGAAGCTATCACAGATAGTACTGAACATACTCTGTTAAGGAACATGTTGAGTAGAGTTTCTATGCCTAGAATGCAGAGAAAACACATTTGTAATGCTAACAGATGTTACCTTGATCATCCAACACAACATTTATGACTAGTTTACAAAGTTACAACTAAAAAACCATAAAGTTGGAGAGTCTGTGAGTTCTTACTTAAAGTAAGTGTTGGAGAAAAGTATTCTCGCTTTATCTTGCTTCTTATTTTCAGACAAAAGGCACTCCGGATTATAAAGCGCATTAAGCGAAATTAAAACATTTTGACAGATTTAACCATGTACCACTTGAAATCGGTTCGAGGTCAGTAAGCACAAACAATTAATACATAAGGCGCACCGGATTGTAAGACTCACTGTTGATTTTTGAGAAAATTAAAGGATTTTAATTGCGCCTTATAGTCCAAGAAATACAATACTCAAATGGAACCACACTCAACGTCACAAGAAGATTTTCTACCGGTATTTGCTAGCAAGGTCAGATTGTCAGGACAGGTTGCATAGATATGTATGTAGTACACATGAAGACCAGTCATGTGAATGTGCCACGAGCTGTCTCCACAGCCTGTTTTTATATCTTTATCAGTTCAGCCAGTTCACAGAAGTCGGAGGCGTCCTTGGAGCCAGCTGCAGCCTCAGCTCCTCATCCAGCTCTCTCTACTAACCCAAACATATGATTCATGGGCAGAGTTAACATTCTTTACCATAGTAATAAACACATCCATAACCTTTGACCAAAAACTCCCTGATAATAAGTGACCTTTAAAAAATAACCTTTTTTATTTACTTTCTGTGGTTTCGACTGATTATTTGTTATTGACAAATTAAAAGAAAATGTTTGGTGTAGAGTCATGGTGGCTTTATCCTCCTTGTGTCTCCTCTTTCCCTGTTCTCTCATGGGACAGCCTCCGTTCCTCAGACATCTGTTTTGTCCTCTGTCTCCTTCAGGACTTTGTTGTGAGTTTTTCCATTTTTTTATCCCTTGTTTTCTCCCACTTCTCCTCAAGGTCATGGTCGTCTGACGACCACTGAGACACTTTCTCAGAGGGCCTGCAATCACACACGCACACACCAGCACATATGGTGCCTCCAGAGTGACGCTTTTAAACTGATGTAAAATAAATTAAAAGACAGAAATAGAGAGTTCACGTTGGAAACATGAGTCTTTTTGTCACCCGGTCCAAAATCACACACATCCATGGGCTTTGAAAAGTCTTTTTGTGCAAATATCAGCTAAAACATGTCAGGTTTTTAGATTTTTCTCTAAAACTAGATTAAAAAAGCAATAGAACATAATAACAATTTAATATAATTAGCCAACACTACCTTTCTTTTTATGATAGTCTATAAACTTTGGGGATTAGCACTTGTTTTATAGACTAAAATTAGCCTTAGATATCAATAAATGCAATAAAGCTCTGGCAGTTGTTGTTTTGTTAATTCCCTGAACCTGTAGGGTGGAACTTGTCCGTCTGGACGTTGCTCTACAGCAGTCCTTCTCAAATAGTGGGGCGCGCCCCCCTGGGGGCCCAGGGCAATGCCTGGGGGGGGAGGGCATGTGACCCTAGAAAACACACTTTTTTGCCTCAGGGAGTAGTTTTTTTTCCCCCCACCATTCTCATTTTGTCGCGTGCGTTCCTAATAAAGTTATGAACAAATATGGCCGCCTTGTCGTTTTGGGAGCCATGCATGAACCGTGTCTCTCCTCTGCTGCTGACACGATAAATAAACTCGGACCGTCACCTCCTCCATCCTCCACTGCTGTTTTTTTATGTCCATGCGCTCTGGACATCACTCACAGCACACATGCAACAAAGAGTAAACTCAAGCGAGAGCGACACCTGCCCCCTTTTCCTCTTTTGCGTTGACAAAATGTTTTAGTTTTATCGATGAGTTTGTTAAAGCACAATTTATAAAAGTAATGTTTAATAAATGTTAGGACTGTATTCTTTGCTAACAAAATAAATTCACCTCCTCAGTTAAGCTGCTGTTTTTTGATTCTCTGGACGTTTGTCACCCACAGCACGCAGGTGACAAAGAGTAAACTCAAAGCGAGATGGTTACCTGCTCCCTCTTTCTTCTTTCATGTTAACAATTTTTTTTTTTAAGTTTTATCGACGAGTGTGCTCATTGATCCTGACTTCCTCATTTTGATAAAAAATAAATCAGCACAAATTGTTTTATTCATTTTTGTTTTGTAGGTCAAAGTGTTTTATATAACACTCCTGAGTTAAAATGTTGCTGATCAATTTTAATTTATTATTATTTATTGATTATATTTTATTTTATTTTTCAGTATCAAATGGTCAAAAATGTTTACAGTTTAAAAAATGATTTTTTTTAAGGCAAATTGATGCACTTTAAGTTGTTTCTGTTACAAACTAAAAAATATATGTTAATAAAGTTATTCTTCCTTGTAAGTTGATCTATATTCTTTTTTTTAATGTTAATAAGGACACAGTGTTAGGCAGAGGTGTACGTATAACAACTTTATAGACAAATGATACTATTTACAGTTGCGGGGGGGGGGGGGGGTATTTACTTCTTTCTTGGGGGGGCATAACAGAAAATAATTGATAAGCACTGCTCTACAGGAACGGCTGTTTTCACACAAGAGTTCACCTGCTCTGGTCACCTGATACATAAAGCTGTAAATCAACATTCATTCTCTGATTATTTCGCTGCAGTTTATTCTCTAAACCACGTGAAAAAGTTCACATCCTTCCTTGACTGCTGTAGAACTTGTGCAGCACTTCAGAGAGGATTTAAGTTTCACACTTCAGCTGATTTTATTTACCTAATCTACCCTGTTCTTAGAGGGGAAAAGCAAAAGACCCAGAGCTAAAATAATCTTTGAGCTGCTCGAACAAAGTCTCTGGCCTTTCAGCTTCTGGGTTATTTTGGTTTCAATTCATCTAAAAGTCTTGAATGTTTCCCTGCGACATAACAGTTTTCACCATTAGTACTAGAGACTTTTTCCAGTTGATTTAATTGATCAGAATAGTAGAAAAACATCCCTAATATCTGGATCAATAATGTGAACTCAGCTTCTCTGCTTCATTTAAAGAAAATTAAACTGGTTTGCACACCAGCCAGGCTGCAGCAGGAGTGGTTTGACACCTTTTGGTGTTTTATAGTTTAAATGTTTCATAGAGATATTAACTCATTTGAGGATCCTGGATCTGGAACTATAACAGTCTTGCTTTAAAAAATATATATAAATGGAACTTATCCAAAAGCAAATGAATGAAATCTATTGTGGCGTTTGCCTTTTTCCATATTTATGGTAGTGTTTTAAAGAAAATCATTTTCTTGAATGCATGGATGTAGACCGGTGAAGAGCATGTGTGTGATTTTGTGACAAATCAATTAAATGGGTGTGAGTCATAAGGGCTGTACACAAACTATGTGCAAATATAAACAATAAACCAGTGCCGGAAGCTGAAGAGAAGCTGAAGTCTCCTTTTTTTTGTTGTGAACTGATGGAGAGGTACTGCAGCTGCACGGGATGGAGAATATACACAAAGCCTCTGGTTGGATCAGCAATTACAGATAAGATCAGACAGATAAGATGTACTCATCCTGTACTTCACTTTTCAAGTGTGCAGTCATGTACGTAATAATTAGGATTAATGGGAGGTGAGTGTCCTAAATAAAAGTAGATAAAATGTAAATTAAGATGTTTTAGTCTAGCAGAGGCAGAGTAAGAGATTAACAAAGTTAAACTTGGGAATAAATTAAAGTACAGTTGAGTGGACTGAAAAAGGTGAGTTAATAAACAGGAAGTGGATATTTTTACAGAATAAGATGTCTCAGAGTTATTAGTGAGGCAGATCCACATGTAGGATGGGTTTTACGTAATGTGTCACAGAGTGGAACGTTTTAGTGCAAATTGTTTGTGAATGAATCTTAAGACATAAAACTGAGCAGAATCATAACAGCAGTAGTCATACCAAGTAGCAGGGCTTAATCTGTAAACCAAATACAGGCAGGCCGGTGCTGGGGGGTCCTCCAGAAAATTTTGAATAAAGCAGATGTGATTTTCTGCATTTTTTGGTGTATTTTAATGAGTTGTTATACATCTACATGCTTGTAAAACAATGTGTTTGTTTTTTTTGCGGACCCCCAAACACCGGCTCGCAGACCCCCGAGGGTCCAGGGACCCCAGTTTGAGCAGTTTGAGAACCACTGCTTTACATAAAACTGAGCAGAATCATAACAGCAGTAGTCATACCAAGTAATAGGGCTTAATTTGTAAACTGATCTATACCTAAACACAAAAAGCTGGGGGGTCCTCCTCCAGAAAATTTTGAATAAATTAGATGCAATTTTCAGAATTTTTGTGTATGTCAACATTTTGTTAAACATCCATTAAACATCTATGTGCTTTAAATTTTATTTTGTTATTATTTTGTTTTTGTGAGCCCCCAAGCACCGTCTTGCAGACCCCCGGGAGTCCGGGAACCCCAGTTTGAGAACCACTGGTTTAGAATGAGTGTGCCTAACAGACTTTCATTCATCTTTTGCTGTAAGAAACATAGTCGTTTGTATTTTTTTCTATTTTAATGAAACTACTCTTTTGTTTAAAGTCTTTGTGTTGCTTCATTCAGACCTTCAACATATTTTTCTTGTTGTAGTAGAACAGATTTATCACTGCTGTCACCATGTTGGCTTAAAGTTGTCCTTTTCTGTTCATATTTAGTAAGATTTGTCCAGTTCAATCTGCCACTACCCTGATTTCATTTGGATTTCAAAGGGATAAATTGGTGCTATTTTTTTTTTTACATATAATTAAAAAAAACTGCTTTTATTATAAAGCACAAAACTCATTCATGCCCCCCACCCGCCAGACTTGGAAGAATGTGTGCTCTTTAAATGCAACAAACAGCTACTCTGAAAACAAATAAATCATCACCAACTGTCTTAATGGATAATTCAAATTTCTTGGCAATTTTATTTTATTTTATATTTTTAACAGATCTTTTAAATCTAACATCATTCTCTTCCATCTAGAGAGCTAAAATCGCAGTTGGAAAAAACGCAGAGGGCAAGTCGGCGAATGCAGCGTCACGGTTTGACTCCAACGGCAACCAAGATCGCATAAGGCTGTCTGACTTTAACTTCCTCATGGTGCTGGGGAAGGGCAGCTTTGGCAAGGTGAGAACAAGGTGTTGCTGTGTGTCTGCGCCCCTTTTACTGGCTTAGGTGACACACTTGTTAGGACATTGTGGTTTATGTGGCTCGTAATGATTAAGCATGTTTCTGCTAAGCCCAATGTGTTGCATTGTGACATTCAGACATGTTCAACATCGTAACGTGGTGTAACGGTGGAGCTTCACACATCTAATGTTTCTAAAAGAACAATGTTATATTGATGACAGCCGTCATACATACTGCAGTAAGTACCTCAAGGAGTGTGACTGAAACTAAGACTTTAAGAACAACAATTTGAACAAAACAGAAAATTGGGTAGGATTAGGGTGCAGGTAGGCAGAAAGTGATGGAGGAAAGGAGGCGACGAGGAGGACATGACAAGTGGTGGAAGTGATGAAAGGAGAGGAGGACAGCGATGAGATGCACGGTGACAGGGCTGTCATGAAGGAATTGAGAGAGAGAGAGAGAGAGAGAGAGAGGTAAAAACGTCAGGGTGAATGAAAAGCAGCCGAGTGAGATAGGTGGTGGCGGTGGGGAGTGGCGTGAAAGAATGAATGGAAATCATGGCAGGAAACGTTAAAAAATGGGAGGATTTGGTGTGAGAGGAAATGAGAGAAAAGACTGAGTCGAGGACGAGCAGAGCAGTGGGGTGGATGAAGACTGAAAGTGACATAAAGAGCACGACAGAGAGAGGTGGTGGGGGGGGACATGACCATTGTGCTGATCAGACCTGTGTGGCAGCTGCCTGTTTCCATGGTAACAGGCATTTAGGGCTATACAGATGCGTCACCGTGGAGAGAGCCTGAGTTGGAGCTTATTCAGTAGTGGAAGGCGTCACTGCTGGAATACCGACGCAAAAACGCTCATGGAAAATATTTCTGGATCATGTTTAAATAAAGAGTGGATAAAAACGTGTGTTGAGGAGCTCGTGATGTGTGTCGTTTAGAGCTTCCTGACTTTGTGTTGGAGGTTGGTGTCTTCAGAGGACATCTCCATTATAATTCTGCTGCCTACATGTATGTAAGGACATTCGTACTGTGTGTCGATTGCCACATACATGATAAACAGGAAAGAGCACACTGTTTAAATCTTTTTGTTTCATTTTCTATGCCTCACATTCCCTATGTAAACAGGAATACATGCAAAAACACACGCCTGATGCTTTAATCAGAAGAAACGGTCCTTTTTGAACATAGTTTGGTCCCCTTGTAGACCAGTGATGATTTTGTAAATTGTTCTTTTTGCAAGGAGCTGGCACGTCTAGAACAGGCACCAGAGGGCATCACAGATAATGGTAGTGTTATCAGACAGTTGCCAGAGCGTCATTCAAAATGGTGAGTGAAGTTCTGCAAACACGGAGGACACCTTGTAGATAAATTTAACAACATTTAATGGAGTTTAATAACACTAACTACCAGTAGTTAAAAATAATCGGAAGCTCATGCTAAAGTGCTAACTTTTATCATATACTGCTGTAGCTGACACTGTAAGACTGTCTGTAATGTGACAGTGTTGTAAGTGAACACAACTCAAAACGGTTCATAAATCACAAGTAAAGTGTCCATGCCTTGTTCAGAGGTGAGCTTTCAGAAATAAATCCAGTCATTCGGAACCAAAGGGGGTGAGCAGAACTTTGCTTTGCTGAAGCAGAGTGATGCATTCAATGTGTCAGACGTCTGCCTTGTATAATTTACTATAATGAATTAACTCACTACGGTGATCTTTTTTGGGGGTTAACTACTTTTATAAACTAACTACAAAGTCTCTGTGCATCATCAATAATATTCTCTCAGTAATAAATCTGCTTGTACTAAAGTAAAAATGCATGAAGAAATGTGTGAGAGGGTCACGTCCCAGACACAGTGTGAGATTTGCAAAGCATGCTGGGTAGGGATTATGTGTGCCATGTTTCTGACTGTTTACATTGTTTTTGAGTGTAAAAATAGATTTTTCATGTTATTATCCTGTTCTGGTTTGGTTTGGCATTTACGTTAAAGTCCGTGGTTCCTCCCCCAGAAAATTTGGAATAAAAGAAATGCCATTTCCTACATGTTGGTGTATTTTAACAGGTTGTTAAACATCTGCAAACATTTAATTAAAATCAGGTCTCTCTTGTAAATGAGTCCTCGAGGCTCAACGAGACTAACAACCTGTATAAATAAAGGTTGAATTGAAGTTACTATTTTAGGGAACGACAATTAACAAGCTTGTGTGTGAATGCAGCTCCGATTTTGTCAAGCGTCCTACCCCCCACCCCCACCACCACCACACACACACACACAGTCTGACCCGAACTCTGCTGAATTCAGTCCTGCGCATTGTTCTGCTCCAATCTAAATTGCCTCTGCCTTCAGGTGCTTCAGTCCTCTGTTGTCCAGCTAAAGACAATCCATCCATCCATTTATTTTAGATAATAAATTGTCTTTTCGACATTTTGATTGCTGTTATTTTGACAAATTAGTGCCGTTGTTTTGATACGTGATGTAATGTGAATAATACACATCAATCATTTCACTCGTATTTATTTATGTAGTTTTCTACTGTAAGCTTATTTATTATGTCTGAAATGTTATGCACCGCGCTAATGCATGTAGGAGTTCTGACACAGCAGTTGTGCTCACGTCCTGCAGAGCTGTCTGGAGGCGCTGTGCGTAAAACAACTGTCTGCAAGGCGCACAGCTGAAAGTGGATGAAGACGCTCCCCGCGGGACATGCAGTCCGTGTCTCTGCTGGGCAGGAGCATGTGCGTGAGCTGGTGCGTGTAGTGCGGCCGGAACATCCACTCCACAGACTGGGCAACGTCGCCTCTCGTTGTATTTTTAATAAATAATCAAAATTAAAATGCGCAATGACTTTGGACTTTTGGGGTCGGAGATTAGAGTTGCCGGATCCAAGCGGTTAAAATGAGAGAGTTCCCGGATCTTGTTTCAGCAGGATCCGGCTCAAATTAATCACTGGGTTAAACCCAAAAGATTACAAAAAAGTGGCACTGACCACCAAGCTACCCCAGCCTTTATCTCATTTATCAAGTGTGCGGTTAAATGAAACTCACTAAATCTACAATAAATCCTTTGAATTAGTAACACATCTCATATCTGATACATTTCATCTCACTGTAGGTACCTGTGTTTAGTAATGCAATACATTAGATGTCAAGGAGAAAATTAACTGTGGAGTTTAATCTTGGACCCAATGTTTTCTCATGATATGAAAAAAAAAACCCAGCTATAACTGCAAAGACTTTACACAGTATGTAACAGTTTTCACAGCTCCACTCAACTTTATCTTCCCTCTGTGGAAAAATGTGTTTCACAAAGCATTGCAACACCTTCGACTTCACTTTTACACACACATGCATGCGTCTTCTAAAATACTGAACCCAGCAATAACCCTTTTACATTATCATACCTGAATATTTATAAGACATAAAAAGCAAAGTTGCTAATTTTCTGATATCCATGGGGGTAAAAATGTTGCTCAACCTCTTAATCCTAAGTAAAAAAAAAAAAAATTAAGCTTCCAAATTTGGGTCGGGGATCATCAAAGGGTGTTTAGAAAAAGCTTAACAGTTGAAATGTTTAGGTTGTTCTTGATGTGATATAACAGTATCATCGTCCAAATAGCAGGATGTTAAAACAGCTTGTGAGTTGGTTGGAGTAGATCTTTTACCGTTACTATATATATATATATATATATATATATATATATATATATATGTATGTATATATATATGTATGTATGTATATATATATATATATATATATATATGTGCTTATATTTGTGATGTGTCTACAGCAGAAAGAGTGAGCCTGTGGTTTGTTTAAGATTTACAGTGTAGATTAAATTACGGCTCCTGAAGATTAATGCTGTAAAAAAATAATAAAAGCAGTAGAGCTGCTTCAACACTTTTGACTGAATAAAGTTTAGTTTTGTGCAGATAAACCTCAAAGTTGAGATCTCAAAAGTTAAATGCACTAACTATTTAATAGAAATAGTTTTTTGCACCTGTTTTAACATCACATTTAAAATATTATTTTCTGTTTGCAGTAAACTTGCTCATGTTTAAGAAAAAACGATCTGCTTGTGCACATTATCGTTGTTGGGATCACAAGGAGAAATGCCCTCGGAGTTCTCTGATTAAAATCTGAAACACGTAACCGCCGCCAATCTCTTCCTTTTTCATTCTTTCTCTCCCTCCTCACCTTCTGCCCTTCCACACACTTTGCCAGCCTACCTTTTACTTTTAAAGCCCTCTTTTTTCATCCATCTGCAGTCTTTTACCTCAACCTGCCCCTAATCTGCATTTTCTGAAGTTTCTGAAAATCAAAAGTGATCTATTATTTTCATCTTCATTTCAGTTTTTGTTTTCTTCTTGATGTCTTCCCAGTCAGTCATAAAGAACAAAGAAAAAGCTGCACAGCTCGATCTGTCCTGGTTTAGTTTGTCTATGTACTTTTTTATGATCTAGGGCTGAACAATAATAGAAAACGTGATTGTGATAACTTTGTTGAATACTGCGATAATTCCACATTTTTCTTGTCCTTCTTTGTTCATTTTATAAACACAAAGCTTTTAACTATCTTCAGGTACTTTAGTATCTTGTTTCATGAAAACTGGATGTACAGGTGAAGCAGTGAGTGTCCATCAGATGAGCCAAATGTATTATTGGCATAGAGAGCATTAATACAGGGCTCTCAGAATATAATAGTCTATGATTTATTGAGGGCCAAGTAATCCTTTGAAATATTGATATTGCACATAAACAACTTTCATCTAAGGTTTATTCACAGGATCTGTGGCATCTCGGGGTTGGATAAGATCCCCATCTCTGCAGTTCTGGAGAGCTGCAGGATTAAACAGAAGCATACCTCTTTAATAGGTCAACTTTGCTCAGTAGAACACTTGGTCAGAATGGATGACTCTCGAATCCCAAAGACTTTGTCCTACAGCGATTTAGTAGAAGGCTACTGATGACAAAATATATAACACGAGAGACACAAAGATGTGCTCAATTCCAGTCTAGAGAAGTGTGGTATCTCAGGGAACCAGTGCTGGTTGTCTTGAGTGGTGCTCTATGTGGTATGACGGTGTGAGAAATGCCACTGCATGACTCCTTCAAGGGTTTTAAAGAATCCAAAGCCCATTAAAATTATGTATTTGTCCACGATGGAAACAAAGATGTTACTCACTAATTGGACTTATCAGCCACCAAAGAAGTCACTGATAATAATAACTCAGAGAGAAGCTAGATGCGGTGACAGCTCAAGCTTGTTGCTTATGCCACAAGAACCAAGAACATTGTTCTCTCTCCCAGGACTGAGAGAAAAGAATAGGTATTTTTCATCTCTGCCCTGGTTTGGGAGTTGCTGCTTGTTCTGAACATGACATCTAGGCAGAACGTTGTCTCGTATGATGTCCAAAAGCTATTGTGTGGTCAGAAAATTGAAATGAGCATGGTTAATGAGGAAAAGCAGAAAAACTCAAACTCTCACTGTGAAGACTTCACGGGGGGGGGGGGGGGGGGGGGTGTCTTGAGTTTTTTTGTGGTGTATGAAATGGTCCAGGCAGAACAAACTTTGTTCTTGTTTTTGCCATGTCAAGTAAAGAAACTTTTTTTGTTCAACATTTGTCAGTCAGGTCATCTGGACAGTTTCTTTTTTTGTGCTGAAACGTTTCACCTTCCATCCAGAAGGCTTCATCAGTCAAGGAAACACACAACACAAAACTGGTTCTTCCCCAAAACAGCTTACTCCAAAGTGGAACAAACCAGTTGTGTTGGTGCTAAGGTCTCTTTGGCACGCCCCCTCCTCCATTGCTGGCCCTCTGCTTAATTGACAGTCATGTCAAACTGGTGCAAAACCAACAAAGTCCATGCCCAATTATCCAGGTATACAATCCAACATTTTTCAGTCAGGTCATCCTGACAGTTTTTTTGGTTCTTGCGTAGTAAGCCACACTCTTTACTCCATCATCATAACCTACCATACCACTTGAAACACGGCAACAGGGCCAACCAAAGTGATGTACAATAAAACAAACAAGCAAAGGACACAGGATAAAATACTTAAAACAACAGAGGTAAGAAAATAAGAAACAATTGGAATGACTAGAGTAATAAAAACACATTGAAGTTAAAATCAACTCACACTGGGTTGAAATCCAGGGAATAAAAGTGTGTTTTTTAAACAAGACTTAAAAACCAGCAAGAGAGGAAGCTTGCCTGACCATCACACACATTATTGCAGCGATGGTACATTTTTGATGCAGCCCTAGTGTGAATCTTTCATAGTTCTTATTTTGAATTTTAATGACTGCAGTAGATCACCATTTCTCTCTGTGGGGTGACTGAATCAGTTTCTGTTCTAATGTTTTAAAGTGACATTCTAAACAAATTCTACATAAACCCAGAGAGTCTGCTTTATTGTATAATGATTTTAAGGTAACTTAAAATCAATGTAGAGAATATTAATGAACTAATTTGCATATCATCTCAGGTACCATTAAGTGCTGTTACTGGAATGTCCCTGAGATCAACAAAGTGTCATCCTGTATATTCAGGCATCGTTAGTAAAAACAAATAGCTAAAAACTCCTTTTTTATTATAAAAGATACTAAAACCAATCTTCATACCCTATCCTTAAGGATGCAATCATTCTTCTTTTACTGTACATGAATGCAGCACCATTTTTTCCTCCACATTTTCTCTGAAACATCGACTACTTAAAGATCCAATCTGCTCTTTTTTGTCATATGATTGATCACAGCGTTACCTAATAGACCCACTGCAGGCAGGAATTATGAACAATTAAGATATTGAGATGAAGGTTAATTGAAAAGTACTGCAATAAATAGTTTTCTGATGGTTGAGGAGTCTGTTAGATAAAAATCTGGCTTTGGTTCAGACATTGGTTTTATAACTCAGCAGATTTTTGGGAGGAAAATTCAAAAAAGCTCAATTGTACATTTTTGGAATGACAAAAAAGTTCCAGCACAGTAATGATAGTTTTCACAAGTTTAACACATTGTACAAAACAAGACGTTGATCTTTCTATTTTAATGCACATGTTATTTGAATTTTAAGGCACTACTTTCTGTGGTACCCCAGTACATTTTTGATTTGCTAAGGCTTCACACTTTCACCCACGTGACCATCAAACCAGAGATTTGTGGGATTTCCACAAATCCGTTATAAAACTCATAAAAATTGCTCCTTTCAAGCATTTGCACCTCCCTTGTGGAGCGAGCTTCTTTTTACTGTTTTACTAAAGCGTTAAATCCTTTCAAAAGCAGGAAAAGTTTCTATTAAGAAAACCAAAATTTAGTCAATTATTTTTATGCCAATTTGTTTTAATGACTTTACTACGGTCTTTAACATCTTTTTTTCATTTTAATGTTCTTTTTTATTTTATTTTATTGTGAAGCACTTAATTTTTATAAGTAAAATATTCTGTATGAATAAATTTTACCTTTTTTATTTACTTACTGCTGTATACCACAAATTACAACCAGAAATATTTAAAACTGTCATGAGACCTGAGTCCTTTATTTTACCCCCTTTCCCTCTATCTCCTTTTTTTTTTGTTGTTTTGCACCTTTTCTTTCTCCCCCGTGACATGTTGAAAAGTGATGAATCAGTTTTCACCTCACCTTTCCCCTTTGCTCTTTATTTCCACCTCAACAGTTTAAGACAAACCTGTCACTTTTCTTTATCACACAAGTCTTTGGATCCTGCCTCACTGTTGCCACTTTCTCCATTTCATCTGTTTTTCTTTTTCCTCTGTTGTATAAACAGAACGCACCTCTCATAAAAAATATTAATACAGAAGAAAGTTTTTATGTCTTTACCCCCTCTTGCCTTCGTCCCTCTTCAGGTGATGCTGGCCGAGCGTAAAGGAACAGAGGAGCTGTACGCTATAAAGATCCTGAAGAAGGACGTTGTTATCCAGGACGACGACGTGGAGTGCACCATGGTGGAGAAGAGGGTGTTAGCATTGACTGGAAAGCCCCCGTTCCTAACACAGCTGCACTCCACCTTCCAGACCATGGTGAGCTGACCTACACGTTCCACACTGGAGCCTTTGTGGCGTGGTTTATTTTATTTTTCACAAAACGTACCAGATTCAACAGCCAGCTGTATTTACAAGTTCTAAATTTAGAACATGTTAACTTGTTGAATTAATTAATTCTTATTGAATTTAAGGTTTAAGTTTTAGATTAACTTGTAAGAGATTTAATCTGACTTTATGCACACTGCAGTAATCCCTGGTTTATCGTGGGGGATCCGTACCCTGAAGCCCCGTGATAAGTGAAAAACCGCAAAGTAGGAATAGTA